AGAGTACATTATTCATATCTTTATACTTTCTGATTTGCAATAATATACTATGACGCACAAAAGGAAAAAATGAGAAGGAAAATTTTTAGAAAGAAGTACATCCCACAAATAATAGCTAGCTCAATAATACCGTAGATGCAAGAAAAAGAATGATTTATATAATGCTAAATCAAGAAGAGATTTTATTACCATGATTGATGAATCATGAAGTTTTTTCGCTTCTGACACGAAATGTGGAATTTATAGACAAAGGAAGTTGGACTCTCATCCCAAGAGCTAAAACTTCCGAACAATTTTAGTAGACATCTGATTGCCACTCGTGGAAAGAAATCCTATTCACCGTTGAAGGTCTGAACTCCAAAGGATTATCCCAGCCTAAGCTGCTTTTTGACCATCTCATTTTCACGTTATTAACATCAAGACCCAAAACATTTTCCATCATGATCCCGCCTAAGCTGTGGTTAACCAATCCCTGACACCCAGGCCTGTAATCATACAGCCCACCTGGATACCGTGTCCATCTTCCGTAGGTCAAATTCACATTTTTGAACTTTATGTTGCGAAGGAATCCATCCTTGGAACCTGATAAGAAGACTCCATTCTCTGAAACAGATGATATATTAACAAAGGTTACATCAGATATTGTCCCCGCCTTAGAGCTTGAGTCCCTTGGGCAGGTTGTAATGTAAATTGGTTCTGCTCGTCCCCACCACAGAGGATCATAATATCTTGTGCTCATGTTGATATTTGAGAAGACAACACTACTTACATTTCCTGCCATGTAAACTAACGTGTTAGTTCTAGAGCTGTTGCAAAATGTTAAAAATTGCAAGAAAAGAATGCATGATATGGAATAAGAAAGAAGGTATTTTACTTGCAAAAAGCATGTAGGTATATAGAATAAGAAAGGAGGTTTTTTTACTCGCAAAAAGCATGTAGATATACTGAATGTTTTGTCCAAGGAAGGACATATAATATGGATATGGGGGGTTTATACTACATCAGTTTATGAATATCAATTGAAACAGATGACGTTAAGGATCTTGTCAGAATGAATGCAGTCCTCGAGCAAGTGTTTATACTACATCAGTTTATGAATATCAACTGAAACAGATGATGTTAAGGATCCTGCAGAACGGATGCAGTCCTCAAGCTGTGGTATGTGAAATACTTGGTCATCATGAAGCTATGTTGGAAGAGGAGAACTTGTCAGCTGTGATATGTGAAACAGGTTTTATATAACTGCATCCAAGTAAGCATTAAGACAGATTCTAATATCTATATGACATATTTCTTTATAAAGAGAAGTTATTAGAATGCTTATGTTAAGTCTGAGTGGAGGTAACAATATTACTTTATCTTGTTAACAAAGTCATGATATCAAAGGCGCATCTATCATGGAAATTAGATACATACATGGCAACTGAAAAATAGATATCATCAAAACAGGTTATATATGACCAGTTTTCTAATATACGAAGCACAACAAATGAAAGGTTTCTACCTCCATCTCGAATTTGCATTCCGAGCCCTCTGTGTGAATCCACAATAGTTATATTATCAAACAATAGCCTCTTGAAATTAAAAAAGCTAGCACTTCCAAGCTTGATTGCACATGATTTAGTTCGAATCCAGCAGTCACTAACGGTTAAGTTATACACAGGCCCAGTGGAGGACTTGGGACAGATAGCATCATCTCCAGTGTCAATATGGCATCTTCTGATGACCGTATTGTTTGAGTCTTCTATATCTATCCCATCATTGTTGGGGGAGTTGAAATCTCCATATATTGATATATCATGAATCAATGTATTGTTACACCTCACTAAATGGAAACTGCAAAAAAGATGGATGCAGGAAAAGAAAATTAGCACTATGTTGTGATTTCTCTGGCTTCCAATAAGTTCAGACGTCTAAAACTAGAAATATGATATCCTCTAATATCCATGTCTAAGTTATCCGTAGGTGGAAAAGAAATCAAAATATTATAGGAAAATTATCATAATTCGATTTTTTATTTTGTTTTAACCTTGCAATCAAATAATAGTTTTGGTTAAATTCTTATCTGCGGGAGCTTTTACTGCAGCCTAGCAAATCTGTAGGTCCAGAAGAGGTACAAACAAGATAGGAGGTTCCACTTCCTCTCTGGAGGGAAGCAAGATAATCCAAAAAGAACAAAAAGAGAGGGAATAAGAAGGTGATACAAGTCTCTAGGAAAACCATCAAGAAAAACCATCTTAAACAAGCTAAAAGAAGGGGGGGGGGGAGAAAGAGAAGAAGAGAGGGGGGGGGGGGAGTAACAAAGGAGGTACGTGGAGAATAAGAGTAATTACTAGTAATTAGTGACGTCAATTGATTAGGCATTAAACGGACATGGCGATACAAGTCTCTACGAAAACCATCAAGAAAAACCATCTTAAACAAGCTAAAAGAGGGGGGGGGAGTAAAAAAGGAGGTACGTGGAGAATAAGAGTAATTACTAGTAACTAGTGACGTCAATTGATTAGGCATTAAATGGACATGGCAACGCCACACCCATTACCAACTTTAGCTGGACGGTATGAGTGAGATGGATAAAAAGGAAGTATAGGGAAATAATGACAGGATATCGATCTCTCTTAAGGAAGTATAGGGAAATAATGACAGGATGTCAATCTCTCTTAGGATACAAAAACAACACCTTAGAATAAACGACGGTAATTAGGTTAAACCTATCGCTGTAAAGATACAGATTCGCCACTCTACGCTAGAGAAATATGACGGTCACCACTCAAGGATCCCTTCTTAGAGATATAGATAAAGACTCACACTCAATGGAATCCACCAAAAAAATGTAGAGCAAAAACAAAGCATAGTGCTCAATTATAATCAAACTCAACACACACTTCCATTTTCATTAGACTGCTAGGATATATATAGGCTTGAAGCATGAGAACTTCAGAATTCTAAAAGACAAATGATATCAAAATACTAAGACATATTTGACTAACTTAGTATCCTAGAAAGCATAAAAGTTCATGCTGACCACCCCTTAGTATTCTTCAGATAACATTCTCCAGAGGACTCTAATTCATGCTTAACCAGTTTCATTTGAAAATAGATTCATTAATCTTTCTAATCTTTCAAACGGAGAGTAAATTGGAATCTCCAGGAAAAAGTTATGACTGAAACAATTAAGTCCAATGTGTGTAATCCAGAGAATCTGAGAATGAACCTGGGTCATTGTTTGCTCCCGCATCATTCTCCCCCAGTTGGGAAAAAAACTCGTGATCACAAATATTTAAAGTGGTTGATACACCATATTCTCCCAAAAGTTCAATCTCAAATGCACTCTCACCAATTCGACTAAGCATTCCAAAACTTTGACGAATATGCCGCATATGGTCCTCATGCTCACAAATATAGATAAGAATGTCAATTTGTGAAGAATATCTATCATATCCCATAATCTTATTGACTTTTCGCTGAACCTTTCCCTCAGATGCGTGTGATAAGTAGTCTCATTTGGAAGCACTACATCGGGTATGAGACTCATCAGAGTCTCCTTTAGAGCCTCATCTTGGAATTCTTGAAGAGGTTTCATTACTGACTTCTCCATTCTCCTCAACAATTACCAATGCGAAGGCCTTAGTGTACCCCTCCAATTCTCAATCAAACTCAGCTTTAAAAAGAAACACATTAAACTTCGATAAATAGCAAGAGCTTCACCATGGTCTTCAAGATGATATCTTCCTCTAGATATTCATCAAATTTACATGTAGAGAATTCGAAGAGATGAGGAGATTCCTCAATTAAAGTGGAAGGCTAATGAAAATGGGAAAAAGAATTTATTCCCGTAAGGAGAATGCACATTTTCCTTGTAATCAAAATCTGCATCTTGCAAGAGTTGATTTTTCTCTTGCTTGTGTCAAAGTAACTGATTTTCTCTGTGACGTTGCACCTATTGTTAAAGTTGTTGAAGTTAGCGGCAGATTTCTTCCATCTCAAAATCACGAACACCTCGTTTATACGGAGACATTATGGAAAAATCAATGTGAAAGATACGGAGCTTTGATACCAAATGATATTGTAATGGTATGGGTGAGATGGATAAAAGGGAAATATAAGGAAATAATGGTAGGATGCTGACCACACTAAGGATACTGAAACACCACCTTAGAATAAATGACGGTAATTGGGTTTAGCTTATCACTCGAGAGATACAGATTCACCACTCCAGAGAAATATGACAGTCACCATTCCAAAGACCCCTCCTTAGAAATATAGATAGAGACTCACACCCCGCAGAATCTACCAAAGAAATGTAGAGTGGAGACAAAGAAAAATGCTTAATTATAATCAAACTCAACATGCTCTACCATTTTCATTAGACCACTAGGATATATATAGGCTTGAAACATCCCTCCAAGCATGAGAATTTCAAAACTCTTGAAAACTCTTAAATGACGTCAAAATACTAAAAGACATATTTGACTACCTCAATATCCTAGAAAGTATAGATGTTCATGCTGACCACCCTTAGTATTCTGCAGATAACATTCGCAGAAAACTCTAATTCATTAATCTGAAAATTGGAGTGCAGAGAATCTGAAAATGAACCTTGGTCTTTGTTCGCTCCTACATCAATAGTGCCTTGCCCCTGTCCTAAAACACACCTCTCTCAATGTTGTAAAAACCGGTTTAGCACCTGCCTAGACGTAAGCAGTATACCGGCCACCACCTAGGTCTTAGAGGAGCCTAGGGGAGCCCAGGCTGCTTCTACGGATTGCATCGCGTACGTCATAGTTATGGTTTTTGCCTTTATATTGTCCTACTTCTTCCGCCCTCCTCCACCACTCTAAACACTTCCACCACCTCCGACTATCAGCAAAACCTCGTCCACCTCAAGTTAAACAAAAAATAGTTTCGCCTACGCCGCGTCTAGACAATTACCTATTACTCTTTTAGATATTAGTCCCTTAAATCTTCATATTTTTAGAAATGCCCCCAAGTTATTGAATATACGAAGTTTCTATTTAGTCCTCCAATTTATACAAGTTACTCCAAACTTGTCTCATCCAATTTCTTAACTCTGGCTGTGTTCTGTTTAAATAAACAGAGTGTTAAGTGTTGTTGAGAAATTATCTTTGCACCTCTTCTTGGACCCAGGTCTCATGGAATTATGGTATGACAAATTCTTAATGCAAGTTCAGTGTGCCTTTGATTGTCTTAGCTTGAAACGACCATGTACGATGTTTGTTCCATCATTGTTCCTTTTCCAAAGATGGGTCACATAAAAGAGGTGATTTACCTACAAATTAACACGCCTTTAAGTACGTTCTATACTTAGGATAACATACTCCCATGGGTGAGCCCAAGAAAAATGTATAAATGTAGTAATCCAAGAAAAAATCCAACGATTGGTTATTTGTGATAAAAAAAATCCAAGAAAAATGTATAAACATAGTAATCCAACTATTGGCATCTTCCCTTCAAGCCAGAGAGTGAATAGTAATTTCTGACAGAATATGTATATATTTAGAGAATATGTATATATTTAGAAAATAGTGATTTGTATATATGGTCTCTTCCTCCATGTCCCTATCCTTCCTACAATTGGGCCAGGCCCAATTATGCTCCCAGACCACAGCAGCCTGGTTTACTTGGATCAAGACCACAACAATTAGCTTTCACTGCAACTAGGCCCAGTCCAACCGACATTGAAACAGCCCTTCACACACTCAGCCTTGCTCAGGCCGACCCGTCCTGGTATATGGACACCGGGGCGACATCACATATGACATCCGCGTAAGGTAATCTCTCGTCTTATTTGAATTTGAGCAAAAATAATGGTATAATTGTTGGAAATGGCCATTCTATTCCTATTTGTGGTTTTGGTAGTGCTAATTTACCTCCCCCCACCCTCCATTCGTATTGAAAAATGTCCTCCATGCCCCAAATTTAATTAAAAACTTAGTTTTCGTAAATTCACTACAGATAACCAAGTTTCTGTTGAATTTGATCCTTTTGGGTTTTCTGTGAAAGACTTTCAGACGGTGATGGCTCTAATGAGATGTGATAGTCGGGGCGAGCTATATCTCATCACCACCACCACCACACATAATCAAGCCGTTTCTCCATCCACTTTTGCAGCTTTGTCTTCATCTCTTTGGCATGACCGTTTAGGTCACCCGGGAGCACCTGTTTTAGACTCCCTTAGGCGGAATAATTTGATTGAATGTACTAATACTAGAACTTCGAGTCTTTGTCATTCTTGTCCTCTTGGTAAACATGTTAAATTGTCGTTTGTTGATTCTCATAACTCTACTTATCTGCCTTTTGATATTTTGCATAGTGATTTATGGACTTCTCCTGTTTGGAGTTCTTTGGGTCACAAATATTATGTGCTCTTTTTGGATGACTATTCGAAATTTTTGTGGACTTACCCTATCTCCAAAAAATCTCAAGTCTATCCAACTTTTCTCAAATTAAGAGCATACATCAAAACTCAATTTGAACGGGAATTAAAAAATATTCAATGTGACAATAGTAGAGAATATGATAATGGTCCATTTCTGAGTCTTTGTGAAGCTAATGGAATTTCCTTTCGTTTTTCTTGTCCTCACACTTCATCTCAAAATGGAAAAGCTGAAAGGAAAATCTGTTTCATTAATAATATCATTCACACTTTATTAGCTCATGCTTCACTACCTCCGTCTTTTTGGCACCATGCTTTGCAAATGGCAACGTATCTTCTAAACATTTTACCAAGTAAAACTCTCGATTATCAATCGCCACTAAAAACTCTATACCAAAAAGAACCATCATACTCTCACTTACGAGTCTTTGGTTGCTTATGTTATCCTCTATTCCCTTCTACTACGATAAATAAGCTTCAAGCTCGTTCCACACCTTGTGTCTTTTTGGGTTATCCTTCAAATCATCGTGGTTACAAATGCTTTGATTTATCATCAAATAAAATTATCATTTGTCGCCACGTATTATTTGATGAAACCGAATTTCCCTTCGCAAAGTTGCATACTCCTAATTCCACAACCTATGATTTTCTTGACAATGGATTATCACCTTATGTGATCAACCATTTGCAACATCAGTCCACTCCACAAACTCAAGTGCAGACCCAATCTTATTCTTCTCCCTCTCTGGCCCAATCCGTGGACAACTCCTTTTTTCAGCAACCCAGCTCGCCAATTGGGCCCATTACCTCCCTGCCCAACACGCCAGTTAGATCCCAGTCAACTCCCTCTTCTCCACAGCTGGCCTAGTCCGCCTCTTCCACCACAGCACCATCTTCTTCCACCTTGGGCCAGTCAGCTCTCAGGCCACATTCTGACCAAACACAACATCTCTACAGCACCATCTTCTTCCACCTTGGGCCAGTCAGCTCTCAGGCCACATTCTGACCAAACACAACATCTCCCTCTTCCTCCCATTTTGCCAGTCAGCTCTCAGGCCACATTCTGACCAAACACAACATCTCCCTCTTCCTCCCATTTTCCAGCCCACTTCGAGTTCAAAAACCAAACCCATTACGAGGAGCCAACATGGTATTTTTAAACCAAATAAAAAATATCATGGACTTCTTACTCGTGTCAAAAAATCTCTTCTTCCTCGTAACCCCATGTCTGCACTCAAAGACCCGAATTGAAAAATGGCTATGGATGATGAATATAATGCTCTCATTACAAATAAGACGTGGGATTTAGTACCCCGTCCACCTGATGTTAATGTTATTCGGTCTATGTGGATTTTCAGACATAAAGAAAAATCTGACGGTTCTTTTGAGAGGCATAAAGCCCGACTTGTAGGTGATGGTGCAGGTCAACAGGTTGGTGTGGATTGTGGAGAAACTTTTAGCCCGGTAGTTAAACCGGCGACTATTCGAACAGTACTCAGTCTTGCTCTCTCTAAGGCTTGGCCCATTCATCAGTTGGATGTTAAAATGCCTTTTTACATGGTGAACTCAAAGAAACAGTGTACATGCATCAGCCCTTGGGTTTTAAGGACCCGGATCGTCCTAATCATGTGTGTCTTATGCGTAAATCATTATATGGGCTCAAGCAAGCCCCTAGAGCCTGGTACAAACGATTTACTGATTATGTTTCTTCTATTGGGTTTTCTCAGAGCAAGTCTGACAACTCTCTCTTCATCTACCGGAAAGGTACTCATATGGCTTACATTCTTCTTTATGTGGATGATATCATCCTCACTGCTTCTTCTGATGATCTTCGCAAGTCTATCATGTCACTTCTCAGCTCCGAATTTGCTATGAAAGACTTGGGCCCACTGAGTTACTTCTTAGGTATCGCCATCAATCGACATGTTGGTGGTCTATTTTTGTCTCAGAAAAAATATGCAGAAGAAATTATTGAACGTGCTAGCATGTCATCTTGTAAGCCTTGTCCTACTCCGGTTGATACTAAACCGAAGCTTAGTGCTAAAACTAGCACTCCGTATGAGGATCTTTCTCACTATCGCAGCCTTGCAAGAGCTCTCCAGTATCTTACATTCACGAGGTCTGGCATCTCTTATGCGGTACAACAGATCTGTTTATTTATGCATAATCCGATGGATGATCATATGCATGCTCTCAGGCGCATCCTGCGCTACATTCAGGGTACACTCCATTATGGATTGCATCTTTATCCTTCATCGACTACTTCTCTGATTTCTTATACAGATGCAGATTGGGGTGGTTGTCCAGATACTAGGAGATCTACCTCTGGTTATTGTGTGTTTCTTGGTGATAACTTACTCTTTTGGTCTTCTAAACGCCAAGCCACATTATCTCGATCTAGTGTCGAGGCCGAATACCGAGAGGTGTTGCCAATGTGGTTTCTGAGTCATGTTGGCTACGCAATCTTCTTCTGGAGTTACATTGTCCTATACATAAGGCTACTTTGGTCTACTGTGATAATGTTAGTGCGATATATCTTTCCGGGAATCCAGTTCAGCATCAACGCACTAAACACATCGAGATGGATATTCACTTTGTTCGCGAAAAAGTTGCTCATGAACAAGTACGCGTCCTACATGTCCCATCGCGCTATCAGATTGCAGATATTTTCACAAAAGGTCTTCCTTTGGTGTTATTTCAGGATTTCAGGGACAGTCTTAGCGTACGACAACCTCCCGCTTCAACTGCGGGGGTGTGACAGAATATGTATATATTTAGAGAATATGTATATATTTAAAAAATAGTGATTTGTATTAATTAGGGATTATTAGTCTCCTCAATCTTAGCCTAATATCACGTGGCAATTCATGTATATTATTGACCTTTGTCAATCAATGAAAATCACGGAATCATTTTCCTTTAATTTCAAATGATCTGAAAGACTGAAAAAAAATTAAAGAGATCAACGTCCCGAGCATTCTGTACCCACCCACTCACCACCAATAAGCCGGCTGGTTCAAGGTAATGTCCCAGACCCTAACGTTTTTCGAACCGATGAACCCCACCAACCTCGGCCTGCACTCGTCCCCCTCACAGTCCCCCGTCTGATTCCAGCTCACCATCACGTTCTTAACCTCGCTCTCCCTCACGATAAACTTTTCGCCCTGGCCATTGATCTCCCTCCCCCGTGATCCCGCCCGCTAACGTTCTCCGCCAGACAACGTACCACCTGCCGGACTCCCTCGGATAATCCCTCTCGTTGATCCTCCCAACACCTTGCCCTTTTCTATTTCCAAGATCACCCTGATTTTAGAAAGATCGTCGCGGTGAGGAAAGAGCGGCCGCTTGGGAACTTGACGCGGCCGCCGCCGGAGGACGCGCACGCGTCGATCGCCGATTGGATGGCATGGGTGTCGTAGTGGCGGCCGTCTCCGACGGCGCCGTAGTCGGTGACGGAGAATGAGGGGGCGGCGGCTGACGGTCGGGTTTGGATCGGGGGAAGTAGGAGGATGCGAGGAGGGAGAGGAGGAGGAGGAAAAGAAGTGGAGCAGGAGCAGCAGGCATTTGTGCCCTGTTTGGATGGAGGGCAGAGGGGGAGGGGAAGAGAAATGAGCCTTTCATCTTGTTTGCGAGTTTTTTTTAAGGAGGGTAGAGAGGAGGAAGGAAGGGGTAAGGGGGTAAAATTGCTTGTTTTCTTCCCTCCGATTTGGGCGGTAGAGGAGTGTAAATGAGGGTAAAGGGGTATAACAACATTCTTACCCCCATTAAAACAAATAAAATGGCTGATGTGTTATTAGTATAATGTCATTTATGTAAATTTACATATATTTACTTCCTTTCACCTTCATTGGCTGATGTGTTATTAGTATAATGTCATTTATGTAAATTTACATATATTTACTTCCTTTCACCTTCATTCACCTTACTCAACTCCCAAACAACATATTACAATTCTCTTCCATTCCCTTCCCTTCCCTTCCCGTTGTTTACATTTCCTTCCCTTCCCTTATGGCATGTTTGGATTCGTAGGGGGTGAAGGGAAGTTAAGGGAAACTGAGTGAAGGGAAGGGAAGGGAAAGGAAGGGAAGGGAAAGGAAGGGAAGGGAAGGGAATTCCCTTCCCCTTGGTTACACCTCAATTTGGGGGGTAACAATTTTTATACTATTAGGGGGTGAACCAAGGTGAATGAAGGTGAACTAACTTCACCTCCTAAGTGTTCCCAAACAAGGTGAATGGTTCCCCTAACTTCCCTTCACCCTCATTCCCCTCAATCCAAACAAGCTTTTAGTAAACTCTCAAACACACCATAATGGTGAGATAGGGATGGGCTTGTTTTCTTGAGGGTCTGTTTGGATTCGCAGGGGGTGAAGGAAAGTTAAGGAAACTGAGTGAAGTGAAGTGAAGGGAAGGGAAGGGAAGGGAATTCCCTTCTCCTTGGTTACACCCCAATTTGGGGTAACAATTTTTATACTATTAGGGGGTGAACCAAGATGAATGGAGGTGAATTAACTTCACCTCCTAAGTGTTCCCAAACAAGGTGAATGGAGGTGAATGGTTCCCCTAACTTCCCTTCACCCTCATTCCTCTCAATCCAAACAAGCCCTGAGCGTGGCCGTGCTTATCTTCGCATATTGGGTTGACTACTAATTTGTCCTCTTGTGATCATGGAGCCGTTAGTGCGCGCAAAGAGGAGTGCTTAGAGCATCTCCAATCATAAAACTCAAAATGGTGTAGTTTTTACACTAAGTTGGTGTAGTTTTTATACCAAATCATTATTCCATCTCCAACCCATTACACCAAATGTTACACCAAAAAGAATATTCCTTTTATTATTCTTATCTTTTAACATTTTTTGAAATTTAAAATATTTAACAAATTATATAATTATATAATTATATAATACATATAATTAATTATAATAATATATTTTATGAATAATATAAAAATATAAAAATTAAATGCTAAATCAAATTAAAATATTACTTTCATAACTTCAACTAAAGATTACATTTAACATAAAAAAAGAAAACATCACACTTGCAAGCAAAAAAATTAAAAATAAAAGGCATTACATTTAACATAAAATAAAACACAAAGACACAGTCCATATTGATAAAATTCTAAGTCTCCGAATTAGTATATTCATCCATCAAATGATCAATTAATGCATCTCGAAGTGCAATATGAGCTTCTTTATTCTTGATTTGTCGATGACGAGCCAGAAATCTTTCAAACCGAGCATTTTCATCTACAACCATCTCTACGTCCGGAACTGGCGCTTCCTTCCAATTTTCAATTGTAGCATTAAGATCACGTCCATCCTTAATTATCATGTTGTGCATAATAATGCATGCAGTCATTATATCATGTAATACTTCTTTTTTCCAAAAACGAGCTAGTCCTGACACAATTGCAAATCGAGATTGGAGTACTCCGAATGCACGTTCTACATCTTTTCTACATCCTTCTTGCTTCATTGCAAACAACTTTTTTTTGGACCACGAGGATCATGAATTGTTTGTACAAGAGTAGACCATTTTGGATATATACCATCAGCTAAATAGTAACCCATGTTATAATGTTTACCTTGAATGACATAATGAGCAAGAGGAGCAATACCTTCAGCGAGTTTTGCAAAAAGATGAGATGCCTCTAAAACATTAATGTCATTATTAGAACCTGGCAAACCAAAATATGCATGCCATATCCAAAGATCATAATCAGCTACGGCCTCCAGAATAATAGTTGGGGATCCACTACGACCTGCGTATTAGCCCGCACAAGCCGTTGGGTAATTTTTTCATTTCCAATGCATGCAATCTAGACTGCCCAACATTCCTGAAAAACCTCGTTGTTTAGCAATATGTAGTAGTCTGGCAATGTTATTAGCGTTAAGCAATCTCAGATATTGTTCTGCAAAAACCTCCACAACAGCACGACAAAATCTCTTTAAACTTTCGATTGCTGTCGACTCTCCTATTTTAATGTATTCATCAGTAGCATCCGCTGGTAGACCATATGCCAACATTCGGAACACAGCTGTAATTTTTTGAAGCATAGACAATCCAAGTCTACCGACCCTATCCATTTGCTGTATAAAGTAAGTGTCGTGAGCTTTTATGGCGTTAACAATGCGAAGGAATAAATCTCGAGACATGCTGTATAAAGTAAGTGTCGTGAGCTTTTATGGCGTTAACAATGCGAAGGAATAAATCTCGAGACATTCGAAATCGTCGGCGTGAGCTTTTATGGCGTTAACAATGCGAAGGAATAAATCTCGAGACATTCGAAATCGTCGGCGGAACATTGAATCATTATATCGCGGATTCTCAGAGAAGTAGTAGTTGAACAGATTACGATCAACATTTTCTCGATCACGGTTGATCACTATATGACCAGGAATTGAGCCTCCACGAATTACTTGGTTGTTTTGTTGATTGATAAAGTAAGCCATGAGAAGATTGTTGTTGTTCCTGATGCGAAACACTGCTTCCCTTTCTGCATCAATCGCTTTAATATCATCTATCAATTGTTCATCTTCAATTTCATTATCAGAAAATGATGATGACAAATTAGAAGGATCTCTATTATTAAAATTCATTTTTTTGAAAATAGAGGTTTATGATTTTAGCAAACTCATCAATATGAGCTTTTATAATAGATGGAGATGATAAACGAGAAGTGTTGAAAGTTGAAATGTTGTCATGAAGAGTTGTCATGAAGTGCTAGAAGTTGATATGTTGTCACTGATGTGTCTTTTCTTTGAAATGTTGTCATGAAGTGTTTGAAGTTGATATGATCTCATTGAGGTGTCTTATCTTTGAAATGTTGTTATGAAGTGTTTGAAGTTGATATGTTGTCATTGAGGTGTCTTTTCTTTGAAATGTTGTCATGAAGTGTTTGAAGTTGATATGTTGTCATTGAGGTGTCTTTTCTTTGAAATGTTATCATGAAGTGTTTGAAGTTGATATGTTATCATTGAGGTGTCTTTTCTTTGAAATGTTGTCATGAAGTGACAGAAGTTGATATGTTGTCATTGATGTGTCTTTTCTTTGATATGTTGTCATGAAGTGTTTAAAGTTGATATGTTGTCATTGATATGTCTTTTCTTTGAAATGTTATCACTTTCATTTTTCATCTATAAATAACATATCATACTTCAAGAAACATACATCTTCTTCATTTGTGTTATAGATGACTTTAAATCAATGAAGTTCTTCATACACAAATGCTGAAGACTCACACCTCTGCCATGTATATCTTGACATTTCCTAAAATTCGATCATAGGTATAAACCAATCTAAGGATCAGTTTTGGTCTCAAGTTGAGAGTGATTATCATAGCTCAATGCCTGCTTTTATCACTCAAGTTCGACCCAGAAGATCTTTGCAATGTCGAATGCAAACTCTCCTAACTGCAATTGGCAAGATGAGGAAATGAAAAGAAAATTTAAGAAAGTTAAGATGAAGGATTCAAAAGAGGTAAGAAATCTAGAATATAATCCACTAACCAATTTCAATTACAAAATATAAACTATTCTCTTTTTATCATATTTCAACTTAGATTTATTAAGCATAGATTATCAAACCATTTAAGGAAAGTGTAACCTATCAAATTATCATCTAAGTTAAAATTACTATTCATGATAAGAACAACAACATGATAATAATCCTAGAATTCATAAGCATAACCTATCAAACCATTTAAGATAAGCATAGATTATCAAATTCTTCTTCTACCGATTAGTTCTCTAGTTGATTATCCTAACATGAACATTTTAAGTACAAGAGAATAATTCATACAATATAAAAGAAATTAGACTAGTTTCATACAATTCTAAGATTCCTACAAGAATTAAATTCACATCTTAAGAAATAAAAACAAGAAAAAGAAGACTAATTACAAAATTAAAAAGAAAAGAAAAATCTAAACTATGAACAAGAAATAAATCTAATTACAAAGAAAATAAAAATCTAAACTACAAAATAAATTGCAGAAATTAAATGCAAGAAAAATAAATCTACTCTACAAATTAAAGTGCAAAAAGAAAATAAAAAAGACAAGAAAGTAAATCTATACTACAAGCATGAATTTAAATCTAACTAATAAGCAATAATAAAGAAATTACTAAAAAGAAATAAAAGAGAAAAGAAATGCAAACCTTCAAATTGCTCTTCATCTCCATCCTCATCATTCAACAAGAGGAGAAAGAACAAATTTAAAGAGGAAAAAATTATTTTTATTAATTGCAACTAAAGTTACAATTTTTGGAAGGCCTTCTCAATTAAGAGTAGCCCTCCTCTTCAAAAGGAGTTACAAAAATTTTCACACCCTTAACCCCTCACTCTCTACCCCTATTTATAGTAATCTTCAATGAATATGAGCCATTGGATTTGTCTTGAGCCCCAAGCAACAATCTTCAACTTTGAATTTGCTTTTGAAGAAATGGGTTGGATTTGTCATGAAGTGGATTTGAATGTTGGCTTTTTATTTTTATTTTTCCGGCCCACGTAGGAGGTCAAATTAGCCTTCTGTCCATACACCCACTTATGTTTTCTTCATTATTTGCAAAAAAAAATAAAAACCCACACACTTGGTCCGCAGGAGCTCTCTTGAATTGATTTTGGGCTTTTTGGGCTTCTTTTGGCTTCACGGGCCTTGCTTGATTTTGTAGACTTTTGCTTCATTATAACATGATGTGCATCATGCTGGAGACGTGGGTAAGGATTTGCTTCATTTTTCTTTTCTTTTTTTTTTCATTTTCTTTTGGGCCATCATCTGCTTGATGGGCTTCATGCTCTTTGGACTTCTAACTCTTCAATCATTTTTCTCTTTGAGCTTTTGCTTCATGGGCTTCTAAAATGCTGCAAAATAGAGAAGAGAGATTTTGAGGGGTTTTTACATTTAATAATATTTATTTATATTTTCATTCATTTATGTGCAAACTAAGCTAACAACAATTATTAATGGTATATTTATTCATATAAAATAGATAATAATGGTATAAAATTCTAATAAAATGTGATTATCATGTATGGCCCATCTTGAAAGATATCAAAAAATTTACAGATGTTAATGTTGGAATTCAAGTGGGACGCATGCAACATGGTAACTTTGCATCATCACAGTCAGAGTACTCTCCCACTTCAGACTCTCCCACACTAGCATCTCCTGGACTGGCTTCATTCGATTTTAATATGAATGACAATGATTTTGGTGGTACTTCAACTGAAAGACCTATAGGGGTACGGAAAGCAAAATTTAAAAAGAGAAACGATGAAAAAAGTTCTAAGTTTATGGAGTATATGAAAGAAGAGAATCAAAAATTTATTGCAATGATGGAAAAAAATAATGCTGATAGGCAACTAAATTATGAAATCCAAATGTTACGAGCTCAAACTGCGGCAAAAAAAGTGGACGTGGAAGAATTATGAGAAGAAAATTTAATTTTACTGAAATATTTGACACAAGTAACTGGTCCAAAACTACATGAGTTTCTTGTATAAGAACAATCAAGAATTATGCATAAAAGTACTAAACAAGGTGAAGGATCTCAAAATACCGGTTCTGGTACTTTTGCCCAATATTTCGAGCATCTTCGTCCTTCTGATGATAATTTGCCAGAATACTGAAATGTTGTTTTAGTTTATGTTCAATGTTCTATTTTTCTTTAATTTTAATGTATTGCAATTAGTGTTAATTTTCAATGTTGTTTTAATTTATGTTCAATGTTCTATTTGGTTCTAGTATTATGAAATTTTAAGTGTTTTGATTAAACTATCTATTTTTTCCCATTGTTGAATTTTATTTTAATAATTATTTTATACTCTAATTTTATTATAATAGTTCATAGCAAAATAATTAAAAAAATCAAAGCTACAATGTCATATTTTGATCATGAATAAAAAGAGAAACATTAAAAATCATCAACAAAATAATAAACAAAAAAAAGTTACTGCGCTAAAGCTACAGTGCTGTGCCAAATCTGGCGCAGCACTGTAGCTCTCCCCCAAAATGACGCTGAGAATGGAGTTCGGTTGGAGGATGATTTGGTGAATTTTTTGCGTCAAAATAGCGGTGTAGCTACCGGTTGGAGATGCTCTAAGGGGCTGTTTGCATGCCTGTAGGAAACTAGAGTATTTATGACACAAAATAGAAAATGGTTATCCACCTCACCACTTTCTATTCAAGTGTTTACATTGTTTGGTGAGGAATCTTTGTGAATCCTAAAATAACAGTATTATATTGTTTGGATAGTATAATGTAAACTAGAGTATTTATAACACAAAATGGAAAGTGGTTATCCACCTCACCACTTTCTACAAGGTTTTGATTTTTTTTATTATTTTTTTGGAGACATTTATGACATTGTGTCAGCTTTCCAACAAAATCACTCCTAAATTTGGTGATTTTGCTTTCGGTGACACCTCATCAAAAGGTGTAAGCTTTTCATATAAAAGAGAATTTAAACAAACAATGTAAAGTGATGAAAGCTGATATTGGGACCCACTTTTTTACACTTTCTATCCTTTTACATGGTAAAAACATACAACCAAACAGCCCCTAAGTGTGTGCCTCCGCCTTTCGCCCCAGAAATAGAGGGGTTGGGTTAGCCCCTAACCCAACCCTCTATATTTTGGGAGAAACCGAGCGAGTGCTAGCGGCAGACGCGCGTGCGCAGTGCTTTCTAAAAACGCATACAAATATATTCGGTAAGGGGATTACTCATCTAGAACTTAAAATTAGAACTGGTATAATCTGTGGGATAAATTTTTAAGCTGTTAGTTACATAGAACTAAAACTATAACAAAATTTTACAGTGTTAGTCAAGTAGAACTCTAATAAAACTAGAATTGGGATAATGGTACAAAATTATCCCTTTTTTATTTTTCTATATAAAAATGAGAGTTCTAGTCTCTCAAATTATTACAAGTTTTAACTTAGAACTAGGTGGTAAAAAAATAGAACTCATATTTATTTTGTTATTTTTTATATTTCTTTTTTCTCTACTTCTTTCCTATTATGGTTATCACCATTATTAGACCATCATTATAATAATAATTGTCAATATCTTATAGTCTAACAAAAAGTTATTTAATAGTAAAGAACATTCTTGTAAGTAATTATCAATCAATAATAGTAAGTTTAAAATATATAAATAGTATTTATATCTTCAAAATGCATACATATATATTTTATGATTATAAAAATTATCCCATGTTATCTTATCAAAATATCACGCTTCACAAAATTGTTCCTATTTATCCCACTAAAATATCCTACCGGTGAAAAATTATTCTACTTTAACAATTATCTCATTTTGCATGAAAATATCACAATTGACTAACACCCCCTAAGAAAATAAAAATAAAAGTTTTTATTAAAAAAAGTTGTTGTAGATAGAAAAATCTCACGAAAGGTTAGCCACACAAATCTAATCAAACCTCACGAAGCCAAGAGTTATATATATACAGTGAATTATAAAAAGTATAACACAAAAAATGGAAACAAAAAGTGCTGCGAATTTTCTTCTAGACCTCAAATTTTATTATATCCATTAATAAAATAAATAAATCAAATTATAGTGTAACATAAACTTGA